ACACACACACACACACACACACACACACACACACACACACACACACACACACACACACACACACACACACACACACACACACACACACACACACACATTGTCCCGTCACGTTGTGACCATCTTTTTTATACCAGACTACCCTATATCTAGTAAATGCTAGGGCATTCACCAAGGTACAGGATAGTTCTAGAAACGTGGCGTGACACTAGTCATGTGACCTCGCTGACGCAACAATAAATTTTCATTAACGGCAAGTGATGATATGGTGTGAATCAGACTAAAGTAAATTGTTATTATTATCAATTATTTGTAACTCACTTATAAATCGCCCCCCAGTGGCACAGCGGCTTGTCTGTGGACCTACAACGATAGAAACCGGGTTTCGATACCCGTGATGAGCAGAGCACAGATAGCTCATTGTGCATCTTTATGTTTAATTCCAAACAAAAACACTTATAAATCAGAATTATAGGTTAGGAATTAACAAAACAACGTTATTTATGTTCTATTTTATTTTAAGACTGATCATTTTTATACTTTCTTTGGGACTATTTTGTTATATAATATTTCCCCACCTTAAAACTTTCGTTACAATCAAATAACAATAAATATTAATACTCGACTATAAATTTATTTGAAGAGAAAATTTGTTTTGCTTGTTATTAAGCGCAAAACTACTCAATGGGCTATCTGCGGTCCGCCCACCACGGGTATCGAAACCCGGTTTTTGGCATAGTAAAGCCATTGGAAGTGTGCTTGAAGAGAAAAAATCACCTCAAAAATTAAAATGTAAAGAATAAAAAACTTTGAAGGATTAATTTGCCAAATGAAAACAATGATTTTCGAAGTAAGCATACTCGAAATAAGTTAAAACGTTGGCACAAATTACTTGATTGTATACGAAGATAACTCCAGGTTGGTCTTAAACTCCTACGGTACCACTTTATATACGCGTCTGATTCGAAAGTTAGGCCACGAGCAATACGAGCACATTGATACGAGGGTAGCTATGCAGTAATGTTAATATTATAGTTATATACCTGTAGGCTGTATTGAGTTGTACTGTAGTGTGGGTAAGTCACCGTAAACGATTAAATGTGATGCTTCACATTTCGTAGCTTTTGAATTTATATTTTCAAATTTAAGCCACTGTAAGTTGCCACTTGTATTTTAGATTTGCTGATTGTGTTCTTCTTTGTTATAGTGTGAAACCCTAGATAAAAACAAAGGCAACATGAAGGTTAGGCCTAATGTTGATATTTCGTCGCGTTATTAAAAGACGTACTTGTTACTTTTACATTAGACAGCTAACACAGGACAATTTATTTCAGGTGTAGCCTAATTCTAATAAAAGTTTTGAGTCCGATAAAAATATTAAGGTGAAGAAGTAAAGTTTCGAAGTTGCTAACAGTAACAAAGTAACTATATTGTTTGTAACACTAACAGAAAACTCTATCTTTTAAACTTGTACTAGTACTAGTAGTGGGATGAAAGGGTTGTCATACGAGGAGAGGTTGAAATTCTCAAATTATTTCTCTTGAAGAAAGAGGAGTTGGGAGGATCTGATTGAGGCGTTTATGATTGTAAAAGGAATTCGTAGTGTTGGTGCATCATCTTTTTTCATATTTAACAGTGAGAAAGTAGGACAAAGGATTACAAATATATATTATGGCAGGGTAGGAATCATCTTCAGCTAAAACAGTTTTACTTTCGTAAATGGGAGGTTGGCATTTGGAATGGATTGCCTTCATATGTTGTGAAGGCAGTAAATTTAAGTGAGTTTAAGAAAAAGCTTGATAAGTATACTTGTCTTATGATAAGGACTGGCTTTAAGATTTTTTCAAAAATGTATTTATTTTAATTTAGTTTGGAGTATGGAATAGCTGAAATGGACCAATAGGTCCCATGTTGTCCCAAAACGTTGTTAGCATTTAATAATTTATAGAGCTTTCACTTATTTTTCTAACTAACAGGCCTTTGGAAAGGGTTGTCTTCAGATATGGTGGCCTGGCATGGCTAGGTGGTTAGGGCGCTCGACTCGCAATCTGAGGGTCGCTAGTTTGAATCCCCGTCACACCAAACATGCTCGCCCTTTCAGCCGTGTGGGGCATTATAATGCGACAGTCAATCCCATTATTCATTGGTAAGAGAGTAGCCCAAGAGTTGGTGGTGGGTGGTGATAACTAGCTGCCATCCCTCTAGTCTTACACTGCTAAATTAGGGACAGCTAGCGCAGATAGCCTTCGTGTAGCTTTGCGCAAAATTCAAAACAAACAATCAGATGTGGTAGATGTAGTAAATATAAGGGAAATCTTGAATGATAAAAGCTGACTGAGTATTTTAGTGTTTAATTTAGTGGATAGGATGATCTAGTTGGACCAAAAGGTCACTTGTCCTCTAATGTTATTTAAATTTACTGCATCTGTCACACTTGAAAGCAACCAATTATAAAGGCTAATCATCTTGTTATAGTTAGAGAAGTAAAACTGTCAAAACTGAAGATGACTCTTTGGATGGCTTAAGAGGCTGTCAACCAAAACACAAAGCTCCTTGAAAAGTCAAAGATTGTGACATGCGCTATGCGTGATTTTCACATTTATCTCATTGTTGCACATTTCTGTATAAAGCAATTTATCAGAAAGGAATAAAGTGGAAAGCCATGTGTCACAGGGAAGTATATTGGGATTGGTACTCAGTAATTTATATAAAATATTTGCTATAATCAGTGGAGAACATAGTGAAAATGTTTGCTAATGACCCAAAACAGTGATAGTGACAGATTCAACCTTCAAGGTGACATTAGTTCTTTATAGATTGGTATAAGAAGTGATAACTTTGATATCCTATAGATTTAAGGATAATAATTATGGGAAAAAGAATGTAAATGCAAAATGTTCCATGAACTCTGAAACTTGACACTGAGGAGAAAGATCTGGGTGTTTTGTTACAGCTTAGTAGATATGTTTCTGAAAGATACTTCCAGAATTAGTCAAGCTATGGAGATCATCTTAAATCACCAGCATACACACACAACCACAAATATGTCTATTTTTACTTTTGATAAATTAAAATACAATAATATATATATATATATATATATTGTTAACTTTTTTTTTATAATTATTATTAACATTACTATTAATTAGATTATAATTAACCCAAGAGTTTTTAGCTTATATTGATTAATAAGATTAATTAATCAATACCTTTCTGTTTGGAATGTAAGATCAGTAGTTTATTTTATAACAGAATGACTTAGAATATAAAAGTAATTAATTTTATTACTTCAAATTAACCTATATTTTCACAATTAAACACTTTTAATCTTAAAAACAACTATTATTTTGTAAACAAGTCAATAAAAATGAGATTGTTTCCAGTCTCCAAATTACAAAAATAATAATTTACTGTACAAGGTTATAAAGTGATAAAAAAAAACCTGATGAGACTGGAAAACATTCTCATAAGCTATATGTTTCAGTGTGTATACTCTTGTGTCATCCTCAGGAGTGTAATGTTTTGCAAAAAATAACTTGTTTATACAATTATCAAAACACCAATTTACATATTAAAGAATTTCACACCATCTGCTGACAAAATTTCCATTATAATAGTAATTATAATAGTTTACCTAAAGATTTTTTTAACAAATCAAATATTTATGCTGAAATACCAGCCAAGGTCCAAACCTCAATGACCACATAAATAGCTATAGCCTATTGTGTAGCTTAGCTCTTACCAACAAACAAACATTCTTGAGTAAAGAAGGGTAAGTAGTGATATTGTTAAAAGTTTACAAAATTATCAGGAAGATCAATAGGATTAAGGCCTCTTATCTTTTTGAACTGTAATCTAAAGATGATAATAGGAAGAGAATACACAGAAATATGATTTAGAAAAGGCTGACTAAGCTCATGGTAAGAAAGTTCTATTTAATATTTTTTATCTGAATAACTGACTTATGGAATGAGTTTTCATTATTGTAGTGAAGTCCAGCACTTTACAAGTTTTAAGAGTGAGAATGATAATTTCTTTAAAAATAATGGTTTGGATTAAGTTTTTACTTATTTTCTAAGGTGAGTATGCAGGGACAATCTTGAAGGATCATATGGTCCCTTTTTTGTCCAAACATTGTTTTTTCACCATATTATAGTGTGTGTTTTCATGCAGCAGACATTTGTTTTGTTACAAGTAATAGACTTGTGAAATGGTTTAATTGATCATGTGGTGTGTGTGCTTTTTAACTTTAGTAAAGATAGGTACATTTATATGAATATGTAAGGCCATTTTTAAGTTAGTTTTAATTATGATGTTTATTTTTGTAAGAAAAATATTATCCTAGCTTTTCTTTGTGTACCGCTGCTACTTCATATCTGCAATATTTTTCTTAGACTGTTGCTTATTAGCTTAATGAAACACTACCATATTCATTAATCATTTTATGTAAGTGACTGGGTATTTAATTAGAAGTAACATATCCAAATTTTTGCTTGTATTACCATGTTGCTTGGAAAATCTGAATGTGTGTAGTATTTCTTTAATTTGAAAGACATGAACATTATTTATGAGGGATGGGGTAGAGGACTTTCACTGTTATTATAGTGGAATAGTAAATTTGAATATGGCTTGATATTTATGTGACTGGAATGTGATACCATGGAAAACAAATTTACTTGTGATAATTGACAAAAATATGAAATTTTGGAATTACAATGTTTCTCTAACTTGTATCTATTTGCATAAATTTATGATTTAAGAAGAAAGAGTTTAATTTAAACTTGCATAAGATTAGGAGTATTGTAAACATATTCTGTTTTTTGTTGCAAGAAATGGTGCAGAGATGGGCTTCTAGAATACATACATATAATGGGACATGAGGCCGTTCTTGCCCATCAAGGATGTCCTGACTCCAGTCCTCCCTAAACACACAGAAAATTGATCTCTAAATCCAGCCCTGATCTGCCATATATTCATCATCCTTCTCTTAAGCTTAAGTTCAGTTGTAGCCTCTTCCATTCTTATATGGCAATTTGTTCCACAGGTTTATCAGCCTGTTGGAGAAATAAAACTGTCACTGACCTTTCCAGATCTTAACTTTATGACCTATCTTGCCATGAGAAATCGGTTTTAAAAAATGTGATGCTTAAATCATATCAATAATAGCTTTGAATACTTCATTCAGTTTACTCCTGATCATTTTCTTAAGCTATCCTCATCAGATAACCCATCCATCTCTAGAATCATTGTAGTAACCTCTTTTCTCTGAGCTCTTTCCAACAACTTAATATCTCTTGTAAGGTAAGGGGACTGAAATTGCACACAAATCTCAGAATGAGGCCTAACCCTATATATGTACAACATAAAATTCTGTTACTTTTACCGTTTGTAATACAACAATTTCTTTAAGACAATAGTTGTAGCAGTCAGTAGTCTCAAGATATTTTCCCCATCCACATAATTATGTATTTAAATTATATATAATCTTATATTGTAATTCACATGCATAATCTTACTGTTATAACAGTTTCATAATTAAATTACATCTGTCATGTTTAACTGATCTTATTCTGGAAAATCATAGTATCCTCATTACAGCCAGATAGATCTAGGATTTGTTATATCAGCAAACTTTATCTGTTTTCTGACTATGCCCTAATCAATGTCAATAATGTAAATGAAGAATAGTAGTGGTCCTAGCACAGATCTTTGATGCACACAACTTGTAACATTAGTCCAAAGAAAAGGAACTTGACAAAATGGGCTTCATTTCAAAGTTTTCTGGCCAGGTGTTTTGATAAGCTGCTTGGGGTGGTTGTTTAACTGGTGGAATGATATTTATTATAGAACTTGAATATTGTAATCAAGAATGGATGCTTTGCAAAACCTAAACATAGATTTCAGCTGGTATATGTATATTTCTATTATTTGTAATTGTGGGTGGAAGGGTTTCCTGTTGACATACTAAGTATTGTTTAATGAATGTACTTTAAACATTTGTTGAATATGTAAATCCAGATGACTTGTACTTGAGTTGTTTATAGAGGTAAGTTGAGGAATATATTCTTAGCCTCCTCTCAACATGCTTGGGAAGATAGTAATATGTTTGAAATGTTGGATGATGTGATTATAGGTGTCTTTACATGTTAAATGTAGTACACAAATTGAAGTTTTTGTTTATTTTTACAGGTGCAGCTGCTTTGTGTAGTGTATATTCATACTACTACGACATTGAATCATAACCAGTAAGCATATTTATCAGAAAGCATGGCAGATGAAGAGTATGAGCCTGATGAGTAAGTTTACTTTTCTCTGTTGTTTGATCCAAATTAAAATTTGTCAAATGTCTGAAGCATACATTTTCACTTTAGATACTCATGTTACTTGCAATTCTTTCTTTACATCTGAATAATTTGTAGTTTAGATGTAATATTTATGTGTGTGTAGCCACTTTTAATTTTTGTATGTCATTTTCACTCCACTTTATCTAAGGTGTAATCTAGCACATTTAGGCCTATTGTTTCTTCCACAGAATAACTTGGAGCTATAAACAATATGTACAAAACTTATTTTCCCATGAGATGGAAGTGGACACATAATTATGAAAAATGAAAGGTCTTTTTTCAGTTCTTTTCAACTGTGAAAAGCCAAAAAACCTTTCAAGTCAGTGGGGCTTCATATAGAGATTTGAACAAAGTAATAAAATATTTGCTTGGTGATATGTTTCTAGAAGAAAAGGTGTTTTTGAACAAGTTCCTCTTCAATTACACTTTGTGATTTTTTTTTAAGCTTGTGTATAGCATTCTTTTATCATTTCATACTTCATTTGAGTTATGTTGCTGAAACATGAAAGGAAATTATTTTTTTGGAATAAGATGAGGTAGGCATAGTTAAGTTTGCATTCAATTATATCAAGTTTGTTTCACTGTTTTAAGCCTTGTTTGCATGAGACCATATCAATCTAGGTAACTGTTTGAATGGGCAAAGAAAATTACTGAAATAAATGTAAAATATATATATATATATATATATATATATATATATACTAATAGGTTAGTAAATTAATTACTAATAATAATTAAGTTAGTAAGACTATTTAGTTACTTAATTAAATTTAAAACT